TGGCGAGCGCGGCGACACCAACGATGTTGTCGCGGAGGAAGCCCAGCACGTTGTTAATGTTGATGTCCTCGATTATATTCCAGATACGTTCCACTACGTCCTGGATCGTCTTCTCACATACACCCTAACACGAAAACATACTATTATCTACTAATATATTAAAAGCCTTACAAATAAACGCGGTATAAAGTTAAACTTAGGAATAAACTGAGTCTAAATGCTAATATTAGTACAAATTTTGCTTATAATCCGTATACAAAATGGGATTTTTAAAAAGCTAGGCAGTGACCCTTCCCCCCCCCCCCCATGGGGCAGTACCTTGTTGCAGAAGCCCTGTATGCAGGGCGTGCCGTCGGGCAGGATGTCATTGTGTGCGACAGGGAAGCACGTCTTGTTCAGGCTCTTGCGGCAGCAGCGCTTGCACGCGTCGGCCACTGACAGACATTTAAACATATATAGATTAGGCACACTTCATTTAAAACATTTCTCACATAATCATACCTTTCATTGACCGAGGAGGAGACGCACATAAAGAGGACATTTCCCCTTCCTACGCTTCTACTCTACCGTCAAATCCAATTTTCCTTCCCAACCTTTCCTCTTAAGGGTGGAAAGGGGAAGGGAAAGGGACTAAAATGAGGCCCCCGGCATCACACTCATGAGTCGAAACGCAAAATTACTTCCACTTCACGCCTGTATCCTGTGTGGTCGTGGTATTACACAGGACGAGCCCACCACTGTTGAACTAAGTTACTATCCAATATTTTACACATTTGAAAGAATTGTTTATAGTAGGGGAGCCGACGATGACTAAATGGGGATTTACTCGAGCGTCGTAGATACCTATTTGAATGCAAAGCTTAGATGATAAGAAGAAAAAAATGTTTTTTTTTTTAAATTGCAAAAAACCAGCGATTGACCACTATCCCACCTAGATCAAGGTGAAGATGTGGTCGAAGGATGGTACGCGCTAGTGTTACGTGATATATACCTTTACATCGGTGGGGGAAGCGGATATAGATTTTTAAATATAAACAAAAAAAAACTGTTGCATGGATATAATACAATTTTAGTAATGTACGTATGTTAATCTGATCGTTTGCATGATGCGAATGGTTGTATATAATGGTTGAAATGAAAAAAAAGCACTGATTCACTAATCTGACGATTTCGATGAGACGCAAACTCGCGGCCATTTTCACAATGTGCAAAAAAAAAATCGCAATTTTGGAATACTCAAGCGCGTCAGATTAAGATATATGTGGTTCATCTTTATGTTCTAAACGTACTGTCTCATAATCTGACGATTATCTAGAGGGATTCGCCTGATATGACAAAAAAAAATTAGATTACCTTAATCTGATCCTGTATCCTTCACGGGCGGTCTTATATACGGTCTTCATGTTTTGTGGAGGTACTTAGCCGGGTACAAAGGGGATACCCCCTATATATTAATCTGCCGCGCAAAATCCCGAAATCCCCGCTTCGACTCCCCTACTATTAGTTCAATTTATAACAAAAGATAGAGCTTATTATAATTTTGTAAAATGTCATGAGGGGGCACTAAACTCGACAACATAGTACCTTTCAAAGAAGTTACCGGTGAATGTTCACTATCCAGTCGATATATTTTTTGACGAATGCACGTATGTATTTTTAGGAACAAAATTACTACCGTGCTATAGAATTGGCGCAACTCTAGATTATCGGCATAAACGTCACGTCCCTAGCTGACAGCTGTCAATGTCACTAGAAGTATGGAT